TGAGCCTGGATGAATCATTGAAGGAATGGAATTGATCAGGCAGATAGATTGCAGTACATGGTTAAGAGTCTCCTAAGAAGGGAGATGGCAGAAATCCAACATCAAATAGATGATGAAATGGCCATTTCCATTAAGGGAACATCACATCACAGATATTAATTAGGAGGCACTATAATAGAGTTAAGTGGATATGGGGGAAAATGCTGAGTTAAAGTCACCCCGGGTGTCCTTAGCCTGAGGTAATTACAGATGTGAAGGTGAGTCATGGATCTGCGATTTTCCATCTATTTTACAATGGCTGCAGGTAAGTTAGAGACCAGATATAACTCCAGTATCATTAAAATAGTGGTGATTATGCAGCAGAAAGAACACTCTTGCCTTCCATTCCCATGATTAATAATTAAGAAAAGCCAAACTCCAACTGAATTTGGATCTTTCCCAATGAGCTGGTGTCATTTAGTAGTGATGTAGGGCTGTTTTTGTAGCAATGGGCACCTCTAGTGTTACTCAATGAAAAGTACCAGTCCTATAAACAATGGGGTCCACTTTTGTCCTTTCTGTCAGTTCTGTTGATACTCACAAAAGATTTAAGGACCTGTGATGTTTAGGACAATTTGATTCACTAGAGGGCAGGTTTTATATTAAGTATACCAACATTCTGCTCAGTAAGTTTCATGTCTAGGCATTTTCTTTATGTCCTCACAGAAATATCAAAACAATATCGCGGCACCACAGTAACACCTTTTAGTACTGAAGCTATTTACTGGATGTTCTGGTGGAACATTAGGGGAAAAGCAAAGCAGGGGGAAGATTAAGAGTTCTTAATTCCTTCCCTCTATCCATACTTATTGAAAGGTTTTAACTCATGACTGCTCCAGGGAGAATCACAGCAAGTAAAGGAATAACACTGTCTGGATAAAAGTATTTGCCTGTTTGCATGACCTGTTTCATATTCATTTAAAAGTCTGATACCAACCAGATGCCCCACAATGATGATAAATTTAATTTATTTCCAATTTCTCAAACTCTTCTACAGATTCAGGCAGCACAGTCACAGCCATTAGCTCACTGAGCCTGGATGAATCATTGAAGGAATGGAATTGATCAGGCAGATAGATTGCAGTACATGGTTAAGAGTCTCCTAAGAAGGGAGATGGCAGAAATCCAACATCAAATAGATGATGAAATGGCCATTTCCATTAAGGGAACATCACATCACAGATATTAATTAGGAGGCACTATAATAGAGTTAAGTGGATATGGGGGAAAATGCTGAGTTAAAGTCACCCCGGGTGTCCTTAGCCTGAGGTAATTACAGATGTGAAGGTGAGTCATGGATCTGCGATTTTCCATCTATTTTACAATGGCTGCAGGTAAGTTAGAGACCAGATATAACTCCAGTGTGATGAGGCTTTTTTAGAGTGGGGAGAAGCTATCCTTAAAAAAGAAAAAAAATCTAAAGTTTTACTATTACCAGGGAAATTACATCCTTTATTTACAGAAACATTAATGGGAAATGACAAAAGACTACTTCTCTAATACAACAGAAGTGAAGCAAATGAAACAAATTAGCTTTGAGTTTAAATGCCCTGCATTCTAACAAATCTTTTATAAATTCATCTTTAAAAATTGATGGAATATTTTGTTCTGAGTCTTCAGTTCAAATCTAGCTTAACAGCTAAAAATTAAAAATCTTTTAAGAGTATTATTCGATACACTCAAATGCTGGGGACAATCACATTCCAGACCTTCAGCCCAACAATGAATTTATGACAGTTTAATTTTTTTGTTCTGTAGTTCCTTACACTTTTTGTCCCCTAATAACTTCTAACTGCATCCTTCTTATCTGCATACATAATACACAACAAATGCAGACAGATGACCAGTATGTGAGTTGAGACAATGCTGAGAATAAAAGGGTTTTATCTTCCTCCTTTAGTACATTTTGGATCAACCTCAGAATACTGGATGATATGCTTCAGGTTATTAACTTCAGGTTAATAACCTGCGTTTCTATCAAAAAAGAAATTCCTTTGCTAAAGTTCCATTCTAAACTTCCCACAAACTCAATCAACAATTTTTATTTTTTGCCTTACCTCACCAAAACAGCAGAATCACAAGAAGATTATAAAAAATAATATAGCATTATCTAAAAGATGTGGAATAACTTGTTGAAAGCCCTTTCACCTACAAGTACTTCTGAAAGATCAGGACACATCAGCAAAAATGATGGCATAAAAACTCACAGAATTCCTTATCCATGAAAATAATAACAACACTGGTAAAACTTGTGAGAATCATCTTTTTCTGAACTGTGGGAATTAACCAAAGGCTTGCAGCAGTCTGAGAAGTATTTATTAAAGAAAAATTGACTGAATATTGGTAAACACAGTAAGTTATGTATATCTTGATAGCAAGTGTCACTCTGATCTTGAAGCTCCAAGCGCCTGGTGGAGTGTTGAAGGTGAGCCCCAACATAAACACAGAGCCCTTTGGCAAAGAATGAGTGACTTATAAGTTCCAGGCATTTAAAGAAATCTCTGTCTAATCATTAGCTAACCACTAATCTAACCATCCAGAGACTTTAGTGACTACACGTGAAATATAGATTTCACAGTATTAGGAAAGTCACTAAAGAAATAGCAACAAAAACAAACTCTGAGGAAAAGAGAAAATCTCATTCCAAGAGTTGCCACTTTTAAAACATCCAGTTTTCAACAAAAAATTGAGACATACAAAGAAACAAGAAAATTGGGTCCGTATTCAGGGAACAAACGTATTCATGAGTAACTGTCCCTGAGAAGCTCAGATGCTGGACTTACTAAACAGAAACTTTAAGTCAAATGTTTTAAATATGCTAAAAAAAAAACCAAAAAACTAGAGAATTATGTCTAAATAACTAAATGAAAATATGAGAATGATGCCTCACAAATAGAAGATCTCAATAGAGATAAGAATCAAATAGAAATTCTATAGTTGAAGAGTATAATACCTGGAATAAACATTTCACTGAAAGGATTAAAAAACAGATTAGAGATGGCAGAAGAAGCAGGCAGTGAACTCAAAGATAAGTCAATTAAAATTGTCCAGTTTCAGAAACAAAAAGAATGAAGAAAAATGAACAGGGTTCAGGGACCAATGTGACACCACCAAATGTACCAACTACACTCCAACTTTGGCCACCTGATGTGAAGAGAAGACTTATTGGAAAAGACCCTGACACTGGGAAAGACTGAAGGCAGGAGACAGGGATGACAGAGGATGAGATGGTTGGGTGGCATCACCAACTTGATGGACATGAGTTTGAACAAGCTCCGGGAGTTGGTGATGGACAGGAAAGCCTGGCATGCTGCAGTCCATGGGGTCGCAGAGTCGGACACGACTGAGCGACTGAACTGAACTGAACCAACACATGCATAATAGGAGTCCTAGAAAGAGAGAGGAGAGAAAGGGACACAAAAAATACTTAAAGATATAATGGCCAAAAATGTACCAAATTTATATAAACATTCAAGACATTCAATGAATCCAAATAGGATAAAGTCAAAGAGATATACACATCATAGAATAGTTGAAAGACAAAGAGGAAATCCTGAAAGCAGAACATAAGGGACAAAATTTAGATACATCCCCGTAGGTTGCCTACAAATGTATCTGAGGTAAACAACGTGGCCCCAGAGTCTTAGTCCTGTCTAACCTCTCTGTAGATGGACTAGCTGAGTTATACATTTGATAGAACTAACAGGAGATGACTAACAGGAGACGGTTTTCATCCAACTGCAATCTTTGAGAATGACAATCAACCAAATTCCTCTATACTAGTCTGTTAGTCTCCTGCACTAATCTCAAAGTGGGAATAGATTGAAAGAGGAAATGAATCTTCTTTTGCAGAATGAAAAAAAGCATCAGCAACTGAAGGCTGGTTATGGCTTTTATATGGGAATGTTCTTTTAGGTGGGTTTCCTAGGTGGTACAGTGGTAAAGAATCTGCCTGCCAATGCAAGAGACACAAGAGACGTGGGTTCAGTCCCTGGGTCAGGAAGATCCCCTGGAGAAGGAAATGTCAACCCACTCCAGTATTCCTGCCAGGAAAATTCCATGGACAGAGGAGCCTGGCGGGCCACAGTCCATGGGGTTGCAAACAGTTGGATGCAACACAGTACGTTCTTTTAGGTACCTGAATAAAAAAAGCTTAACTTCCCTACAGTGGCTGATTAAGAGTTTCTTTAGAGTTATGAGTTAACCACCATTTTTTTTTTGATAGCTTATCAAAAGAAAATACTCTGACATAGTGATATTACAATCTAAAGAAACTTAAGGAAAATACTATAAATCCTGATAGTAGGCCTGTAAGTATAAAATTGACTATGTTTCCATCTTTTCTCCTCCCATGTTAATGTAAATCAAAGAGGCACTATGATAATCATATTTTTCTCTTAAGATTAGAAATCAGAATAAATATAAGGTTACTGATTTATTTTCCTTCTATAAAGCTCACTGTTGTATTGACCCTCTTCAAACACTGCAACTGTTTTTTATACTTAGTATGTTCATACTGAAGTACAACAAATCACTCTGGAAATATAATAAAAGGATAGTAATAGGATTCATGCTCAAAGACAAATCACTTTTTTTTAAGGGTACTGTATCATAAAATTTTCAAACTAGAGAATAACTGAACTGTTTTTGCCCTTGTTCCTCAGCTAAAGAAGCCAAGAAAGAAAATGTGAAGATAAAATATCTTAATATTATGAAAATGAAACTAACAATTTAAAAAAACCAAATATAAATTAATGAAATAAAATATTAAGACTAACTCCTTTGTTGGTCACCAAAAACTATCACAACATTGTTAATTGGCTATACCCCAATAGAAAGTTTTTTTTAATATTGGGACTAATTAGCCCATGGAAGAGAAAAGCTATAACTGAGTGGCCTCTAGTCTTCATGATCGTCATAGATGGAGAACTATTCCATTGGCCAGATGCCTCAGGACTAACCTGTGATGATAAGACATTCATTGTGATCCAGGACCTCAGTGAAGAGCCGTGAAACAATCAACTCAGGGTTGATTAAAAAGCGGATTTCTTCTTGCACAAGTCCTGCACTGGTTACACCACCTCCAACAAAACGGTTTGCAAAATCCACCTATTTGGGAAAACGTGACATGTTAAATGCTGATTTAAAATACCTACATTTATGATTAAGAAGTACTCCCTCTAAGCTCTGACCTTCCTTTCCTTCCCCATATAAATCAATCCCCAAATTATCAATCTTCCCAGGGATACTGGATTGTGGTTCTCTGCACTCTTTCCACTTCACTGCAGTTAGCATTTCTGAATATTTCTTTGGATTCCAAAACCTTAGAATGGACTTAGAATATACAGCTTTTAGGCAAAAGCCTCAGTGTAATCATATGGGCTCTTGTTTAGAAACCTTACTTGTGCTCCGAAGGCTACAAATCAAGGGAGGTTTTATCTGGAAAGGTTTTAAGGTCATTTCTCCACCATTCACTACTCAATTTCCATTTATGTACTTCATATGACATTAATATAATTACACAAATATATCTCACCTTATTGTGCTTTGCTTTATAGCACTTCACAGATATTGCAATTTTTTTTTAAACAAACTGAATGTTTATATCAACGCTGCACCAAGCAAGACTCTTGGTGCCATTTATCTAATATCATTTGCTCACTTTGTGTCATATTTTGGTAATCCCTGAAACATTTCAAACCCTCAACCAGCAAAAAGATTATGACTTGCTGAAGACTCAGATGATGGCTGGAATTTTTTTTAGCAAGAAAGTACTTTTTAATTAAGGCACGTACATTTCCTTAGACATCAATGCTATTGGACACTTAAAAGACCACAGTATAGTGTAAACATAACTTTTATAAACAGTGGGAAACAAAAAATTCATGTGACTTGCTTTATTGTGATAGTCTGGAACTGAACCCATGATATCTTCAAGGTACATAGCCTATACCTGTTTTATATAACATGGCAATCAAACACTTGTCTTAAGGATTTGAAAAGTTTAGGATGTAACCTTTTCTGAGTAATTTCTTTTTTTTTTTTTAATTAATTTATTTTTAAATTGAAGATAGCTGCTTTACAGAATTATATTGGTTTCTGCCAAACCTCAACATGAATCAGCCATAGGTATACATACGTCCCCTCCCTCTTGAATTGCCCTCTCACCTCCCTCCCTATCCCATCCCTCTAGGCTATAGAGCCCTGGTTTGAATTTCCTGAGTCACACAGCAAATTCCCACTGGCTATCTATTTTACGTATGGTAATGTAAGTTTCCATGTTACTTTCTCCATACATCCCACCCTCTCCTTTCCGCCCGCCCTCCACCTGTGTCCATAACTGTTCTCTACGGCTGCGTCTCCACTGGTGCCCTGCAAATAATTTCATCAGGACCATCTTTCTAAATGCCATATATATGTGTTAGTGTATGATATTTGTTTTTCTTTTTCTGACTTACTTCACCCTGTATAATAGGCTCTGTATAATAGGATGAACCTATTATACTCTATTATACAGAGTATAATAACTTTTTAAGGGATAAAGATTTCTTCCTTCTAAATTTAATCACAAGCCCCAAACTGCATAAATATCACAAACTTTTTGTTTTAATACACCTAAGGGGGAAAAAATGAAGATAAAAAAAATCTAGTTTAACAAGAAATTAATACTTGAAATTTAGTTTAAAATTACATGTAAGTTTTCTACGGAGCACTATGATGGGATCCCCAAGTTCCTACTAATAAAGGTGGGTGGGTTACACAATCCTCAAGAGAAAGTGAACTCTATTAGATAGTGAAGTACAGGGAAGCCTGGCTTGCTGCAGTCCATGGGGTTGCAAAGAGTTGGATATGACTTAGCAACTGAACAACAATAAGAGAAAGCAAACTCAGCTTGCCAGGATTATTTGTCTTAAACTTACTATGTCCTCAACAGTATGCCAAGCTCTATGAGGCAACACATAAGAAACAGTTTCTAACCCTGTCTTATTCTATTTGAGGAGTACTGTATGCAGGTCAAGAAGCAACAGTTAGAGCTGGACATGGAATAACAGACTGGTTCCAAATCAGGAAAGGAGTATGTCAAGGCTGTATATAGTCACCCTGCTTATTTAACTTATATGCAGAGTACATCATGAGAAATGCTGGACTGGATGAAGCACGAGCAGGAATCAAGATTGCTGGGAGAAATATCAATAACCTCAGATATGCAGATGACACCACCCTTATGGCAGAAAGCAAAGAAGAACCAAACAGCATCTTGATGAAAGTGCAAGAGGAGAGTGAAACAGTTGACTTAAAACTCACCAATCAGAAAACAAAGATCATAGCATCTGGTACCATCACTTCATGGCAAATAGATGGGGAAACAATGGAAACAGAGACAGACTTTATTTTTTTGGGCTACAAAGTCACTGCAGATGGTGACCGCAGCCATGAAATTAAAAGACACTTGCTCCCTGGAAGAAAAGCTATGACAAACCCAGACAGCATATTAAAAAGCAGAGACATTACTTTACTGACAAAGGTCCGCCTAGTCAAAGCTATGGTTTTTCCAGTAGTCATGTATGGATGTGAGCTGGACTATAAAGAAAGCTGAGTGCTGAAGAATTGATGCTTCTGAACTATGGTGTTGGAGAAGACTCTTGAGAGTCCCTTGGACTGCAAGGAGATCCAACCAGTCCATCCTAAAGGAGATCAGTCCCGGGTGTTCATTGGAAGGACTGATGCTGAAGCTGAAACTCCAATACTTCGGCCACCTGATGCAAAGAGCTGACTCATTGGAAAAGACCCTGATGCTGGGAAAGATTGAAGGTGGGAGAAGTGGCTTGGCAGAGGATGAGATGGTTGGATGGCATCATCGACGCAATGGACATGAGTTTGAGTAAACTCTGGGAGTTGGTGTTGGATAGGGAAGACTGGCATGCTGCAGTCCATGGGGTCGCAAAGAGTCGGACACAACTGAGCTACTGAACTGAACTGAGATTACACATACACACCGAACTTGTGTACATACCTAGTCATATACAATTAAAAACCCACAATTTAGTAAGTAATGTAACAGAGACTTCTACACTGTATAGTAAGAACTCACTCCTGGGTCTCTTTTTTATTCTCACGCTACTACCACACTCATGATACTTCTGACACCAGATGCATGGATTTTCCACAAATCTGCAACAACCAGCTGGATGTTCTACAATCCAATTCAGTTCTGACACTCTCTACCAGGAATCAGTGAATGATCGCACAGGCTAAGGATTCAGTCCTACAAGACTGCCCTAGTTCAAATGCCAATTTCAAGCCCCAGACTGACACCTGTACTTCCAGTTGACCAGCTATAAATTAGAGTTTCCATTATCTGCTTCCAAGGTTTGATGACTTGCTAGAATAGCTCACAGAATTCAGGGTAACACTTTCACTTACTGATTTATTGAAAAGGATATAGTAAAGGATACAGATGAACAAGGCTTCCATGGTAGCTCAGATGGTAAAGAATCCACCTGCAATGTGCGAGACCAGGGTTTGATCCCTGGGTGGGGAAGATCCCCTGAAGGAGGGCATAGCAACCCACTCCAGTATTCTTGCCTGGAGAATCCCCATGGACAGAGGACTCTGGTGGGCTACAGTCCATGGGGTCGCAAAGAGTCAGACACGACTGAGCGACTAAGCACACACACACAGAGGAACAGCCGGATGTAGATGCCAGGGCAAGGTACATGGGAAGGGGCATAGAGATCCCACACCCTTTCCAGGCAAGTCACCTCCCAGTACCTCCTCCACACATTCACCAACCCCAAAGCTCTCCAAATCCTGTACTTCGGAAATTTTTATGGAAGCTTCAACACATTCGCATGACTGATCATTAACTGAGTCTCCAGTTCCTCTCGCTTTCCCAGAGGATGGGAGGTGGGGCAGAAAGTCCCAAACTTATAATCATGGCTTAGTCTTCCTGGTGCCCAGTCCCCATGCTTGCAGGCACCCAGGAGCCCACCAAGAGGTGTGTTATTAGAACAAAAGACATACTGGGAAATTTCAAGGGATTCAGGCACTCTTAGTTAGGAACTGGGGTCAGAGACCAAATATTAGAACAAAAGGTATTCCCAGTACTCTCACCACTCAGGAGATTACAGGGTTTTAGGCTGAAGGAATTGCTGCACAAGGACATGGGAAAAATCACATGCAAAGAGCTGCATGAAGAGAGTGATAAGCAGATTCCTCATGCCTATCTGCACAGTACAGTATGTGGAGAGTCAAAGTTGGTAATGAGCTGGTCTGGGGGCCAAGAAATTTATACTTAATTCTGAAGATTCTGGGAAAGATTCTAAGAAAAGTAACAACTGTATCTGTGTTTTAGGAAGATAATTTAGACTAGAGTTTAAGGAATGAACTGGAAAAGTAAAAGCAGAAAGACTGGTTAGGTAAATACTGAATAGTTGAAACAAGCACTCTTAGGGCCTCGAACAGGTCAGTTGGGGGTGGGGGTGGGGGGAATGAGACCCAGCAAAGACATAAAATGGACAGCTCTTGAAAACTGAGAGATTGGCTAAGTATCATGGTACTCAGAATAGAAATGAGAAACAAAGAAGGTCTGAGATCAGCTAAACTTAATTGTTACTGGAACAAGATACATAACTAAATTTAAAAGATAAGTCTATTCAATCTATATCGTACTTGAAAATGATAAATCAAATACAGTTAATGTGCATGCTATTGTTCATTCTTTGAATAAAAGGCCAACATTTATTACTTAAAAGGGATGCACAGAAACAAATACACTAAACTCAGTATGCCTCTGAAAGCAGGAGTCTTTTAGAAAATCAAAGTTGCTACTACTTAAAAAAGTTCTTAATAAACGGCTCTCTATAACAGGTGAGAAACCTGTTCCAGTATATGAAAACAAGCATACGAGTGCTTCTTTATTTTTAGCCTTTTTCCAACTCACTTTACTTTAAAGCTACTTGTTCAGCTTACTTAGTTTCTGAATTATAACTTGATGAAAAGAGAGAAATGATAACACTCCTTAGAGAGGTTTTGTTGTTGTTGCCATTCAGCATAATGTAATTTATACGCTACACCAGGAGCTTTGGAGCACTGCAATACAATATTCCTTGATCTCCTGGGGATACATGGCATGGGTAGGGAGAAAAATAAATAGAAACCTTTATGGTATTCTTTTAATCGCCAAGGTTTCACATTTCATCTATAATACATTCCAAGGAAGTGGGGAGAATCTCAACCTTGAATGTTGTTGAATAATTCCTTGCTGAATTGTACTGTAATGAAAAGTCAGCATTCCTGTGGTGCTAACGAGCAGTAGCTTTGTTTATTTCATGTGTATTAAGCCTCCCTCAGTTAATCCAAGATGTTAATGTAGGTAAGAACCTTGTCAAGATGGAAATGTGGGGGGAAAAGTGATAGTCATTCAAAACAAATTTTAGCCCTATTTCAAAATTATTGCTTTATTATATAGAAGAAAAGGGACTTATTAAATACAAATTTTAGAAAAACTTAAGTACAGGACAAAAATTAATTCAGTTATCCTAAGTATTTTAGTCTATAATCTTAATCACTGGACAAAAGTGATTTAAAACAAAATACAGTTTGCCTCTTTGAAAATTTTAAATACAAATATGTCTAAATAAAAGGTCATTCTAGAAAGAATGCAGGAAAAAATAAAAATAAAAAAATAAAAAATAAAAAGAATGCAGGCACCTACCTAAAGCATATGCATGAAATAACTAGTCAAATGCAAATCAGTCAGGTCAATTTATAACAAATACTTTAAAAAATAGTCCACATTCAAACAAACTGTCCATTATTTAATAACTGTGTTATTTAACTTGTAAGCCTATGTAAACATAAGGCTCTGAAGAAAAATCAGCTTATCAATTTATCTCAGTATAAATGAGATAGTGTACAAGCTTCTTTCAAAGAAAATCAGGATTACAATACTCTCATAAATAAGATAAAACACAAAGCACTAACATTTCATCTCTGATCAGTGATTTTTTTTTTTTAAAGATCACTATAAAGCAAAAGGAAAGCACATGTTCGGGTTAGGTGTTACAACGACTTAAAAGCTAGATACATAAAATGTTTTATTTGTTAACTCCTTTTTCCAAAAATATATTTTTAAGTAATGCCAGTAACACAGAATAATAAAATTTGAGAGATGGACAAAATTACCGGCTCTAACACAGGACATGAAGAGTCAGTAAGTGAGGCAGCAAGTGTATTTGGCTCACATACCTAAAACTATTACATATGGGAGAGAGGACTTTCTTATCAATCAGTTTTAGATGTCTGCCTCCTAGACCCAAACAAGGTTGGTGGCAGAAAAACATCTCAAGCTGGTCATTATTTAGGGCAGAGCGAGAGCCTTTAAAGAAAAAGAACAAAACTGTCTGGTGACAGCTTGTCAAGACTATACCCTGGGAACTTCCTCCACTGTCAATTTACAATCTGTGTCTGAACCAAGAGGCCTGATGTTGTCCAGATCTTGGGATTTTCTGTCAAAGGCTTTTTAAAGAGGCACATGTAAGATACAGAGAACGTATATCGGCAGATAACAGTATTACCAAGGCTGTCAAGATGATCTGTTTGGTGTTTTTCTCCATTCTGCTATTATGCTTGTTTGCATTAAATCAACTTAGAAGAAAATAAACAGCTTTTCAAATTTCCTTCGCTGTCAGAAGCTTGACAAGAGAGTCTCCTCCCGCACCCCCCACCACTGTGATTCACCTACCTGCAGCATGCCTTGACCATTTCCTTCTATGGTACCTTCATAAGTGACATGCAATCGAGTCAGGAGTTTTTCACATCTATGGTTTAAAAAGATATTCCCTCATTTATTTTTTTAATGGTAAGTATTTCACTATAGAAAAGTCTGACAATACAGATTAACTAGGAAAGAAAACTGAAACTATTCCAAATCTCAAAAGGCAGAAATAGATGCTTACTCTTCACATTCTGGGACAGTCTCCCCCAATTTTTCTTTCTCAAATGTATAAATATACATATCTAAATTAAAATAGGATCATATACTGTTTTGAAAACTGGTTTATCCCTACAAAATACCAGTTTCTCCCCTTTTATATTTTTAAAAATATTTTTATACAATTTTTAAAGGTTACTTTCTATTTACAGTTATTACAAAATATTGACTATATTCCCCATGTTGTAACATCCTTGAGCCTATCTAACGTCCAACAGTTTGTATCTTCAACTCCCCACCCTAACCGTGCCATCACTGGTAACCACTAGTTTATTCTCTGTATCTGTGAGTCAGCTTCTTTTTTGTTATATCCAGGAGTTTATTGTATTTTTTAGATTTCACATATAGATTTCACACATTTCTCATCTGACTTATTTCACTTATTAGCATAATGCCCTCCGAGTTCATCCATGCTGCTTCAAATGGCAAAATTTTGTTCTTTTTTTATGACTGAGTAGTATTCCACTGCAGTGTGTGTGTGTGTGTGTGTGTGTGTGTGTGTGTGTGTGTGACAACTTCTTTATCCATTCATTTCTTGATGGACACTTAGGTTGTTTCCATATCTTGGCAACTGTAAATATACTATGAACATTAGGGTGCATGTATCTTTTCAAATAAGCTTTGGCTTCTTTTGTATATATACCTAGGAGTGGAATTACTGGGCCATATAGTAGTTCTATTTTTAGTTTTTTGAGAAATGACCATACTGTTTTCCATAGTGGCTATACCAGTTTAAGTGTCTCCTCTTTAAAAGTTGAAAATTTTCTCAAAGTGTTTTTAAAAATTAAGATCTAAGAAATGTTATTATTATGCTAGAGCTGGCAACCTAAGGAAAAATATAGAAAAAAACTGACCAAAAAAATTATATACAATGCTCAGAGTGGCTCTATTTTCACCAGTTTGGAAATTGTGTGTATATGTGTGTGGGGGGGGTGTCTTAATGACATGCTACAGAACTCCTACAGAAATCCTGATTTATGGTATTTTTATATAAAAGAAACTGATAGGTAAGTGTATTACCTGTAAGTCACAATTATTTTCTTTCCTTTTCATAAACCATGGTCACTAAGGTGTATATGGGGTTCAGATAAACTACCCCCAAATTTGGCACCCTGGCATATTGAATATTTTAAGCTGAAGAAGTTTGAGAAAATGGCAGAAGCAGAAAGGTCACTGACTTCCTCCCCCTCTCATCCTTCTTGCCTGAAACAAGACATAAAACTCACATGAGGGACACTACCTATGCCTGGAAGAAAGGAGCATTCTTATATCTGAAGACAAAGAAATGCCAAGAAGAATTCTAATGATCAGAACGTGCTGTTTCCTGCAGTCTACTATAATCACCCCATGTTCTTTTACACATCATATTCCTGCATGACTGTCTATTCTTCACCAAACCTAGCATAAAAGTACATAGATCTGTTTCTTTGGGTCTTCATTTCCTCATAAAGGTTCTTGTGTCACATAGAACTAATACTAAAAATTCCTTTTTATTAATAGCAGTTGATGATGACATTTTTTTCTTAATTTTTTTCTCCTGATTATTAACTGAATAAAAATAAATAAACCATAATAGAATGCAACAGAATGTAACAGATATAAACCCCTAACTTACATAGTATGGCATAAACTTGTTGGAGGGGACTTGAATATTTTTAGAACAATTACATTAAACAACAACAACAAAACAATAAAACAATTCGGCTAGGAAGCTCTATTTATTTATTGGGATTTACTTTCATCCTGGTATCAATGAGTCCAAATATATTTCTAGTGAGGCTCCAATCCAGGTTATTTAGTGTAGTTCTAAAAGCTTCATTTGTACTCATTTAATCTTCACAACATCCCTATTACTATCTCCCTTTTACAGAGGAGGAAACAAAGTACAATAAGCATTTAAGTAACCTAATACTAGTAAATCAAGCAACAAAGATCTGAATCCAGAAAGCCTAAGGTAAACTATACTTTTAGAAAAATTACTTACCAAATCTCTTGGAGAAAGTTAGTACCCTAAGTTTCTTTTTAGTTTCCTTTGGGGGAGGGGGGGAATCCTACTTCCTAGCTATTTTATTCCAAGGGAGATCATCTGTGAGGATACTATGGAAAAGATAAAGCAGCATGATCCAGAAATCTCATCTGTTGTCAACTATTCTCTGTGACTGTAGTTGTCACTTCTCAAAATTACAAAGTTGCTAGAAACTAGTTTTTTTTTTAATAAGCATCCTTCAACTTCCTAATAGGTTTCCCCTTCTGGCCGCAGCAAATTCTTCGCACCACTGCCCCAGGAATTAAATATTATTCTGGTTCTCTGTGATTACTAAGATATTTACTGATAATCACAGGGATAACTATAATGCCAGAAATTTGGAACTCAGAAAAGTCTCCAGCTTCCTGGCACTCATTTAGCCCTGTACTCTTGGGAAAACTAACAGTCCTCATCTCTTCTTCATCCTCTCTCTTCAAGTGAATGCGTGTTTCTGGTTCTGTGGAATCTTGGAGATGGATTTTAATTACATTCTCCAACTCATTTATGAAACAACAAAAACAAGAGATCAATGGAATGAAAAAAAAAAGTTTGAAAAGTATCAAGTTAAATTCTGCTTATCTAGGGCAAGGGGAATATCTTGATCTTACTTAAGGGGCAGAATTATCTTATGGACACAGCAATTTCACCAATCTGTATTTTGACCTACCCCTTCTCTCCCAGATGGTATACAAATAGGCGCCCTTTCACATTAGTGGCCAAACAAATGCCAGATGCAGAGGAGAGATTCTGAGCTAAATTAAAAACAATTCCTCTGAAAGATCTATAAAATCTACACCAAAGCAACATGAATAAAACATGTATTCCTATTAGAGACTAATAAAAGAGCTAAGAACACAGCAGATTGTTACTTTTAGTTCTTGGCACCATATTTTAAGAAGGACTAATTGCTTAGGGTATGTTAAGAGCAGAGTGTAAAGGGTTTATAATCCACATTACATGTGAAACGAGTAGTTTAACATGTACTTATGTGCACTGTTAGAGTTGGGGGTGGATCAAGAAAACATTAAGATACATGAAGGAGGGTCAAATGTTAAAGAAAATTAGATTTATTGTATCTCCAGAAAGAAGAACCAGGAACGGGATTTGGCATGGTAGGGAGATTTCTGGAAGATAGACTTCTTCAATGAATTAAAGTATCAGATAATAACACAAGCAGCCCACAATGGGAAGAGTGCAGTCCAACAGTGGATTTCCCATCACCAGGGTTGTCTAGTCTCCGCCTGTTATAGGTATTAGAGTTGACTGTTTTTAGTAGGCTGGATCAGCTGAACCCTTTCTGGGTCCCTTTCATCTCTAATATGCTATGATTCCAAAATGCTGTTCATGGCTCTTCCTTTCTGACTCAATTTTGTTCTTGTTTTTGTCTTTTTTTTGGTTGCTTAATCTTTTATCCACTTCCCTCTGCTATAATAATATCATCTCAGCCATGCAGTCAGCCTCCTAAAGTAATTTTGTTTTTCTTTAACCTCACAAATAAACATCTTTGATGGATGAAAACACAGGAAAGTCATCTAAGCATATATCTTCTCAACTTAATTCCTTGAACAATAACTAATTCCCTTTCATCGTTAATTCCAAACAAAACAATCACAAACTACGATAAAGATCATTAGAAAGTGAAAATGAAGAGGCACTGGTTAACATGAATGCACATCCAAAATACGCCATTAGTACATCAGATCATGTCCTCACATGCGCTGAAAAAAGCAGAGCCATTCTGCTTTAAGTGCTCTGGGGATTTGTTCCAGGTTAGAACTACTTCAGGGCACTAAGGAACTTACAAATCTGAACAAACTCACATTGGTTACTATTATCCTTAGCATATGTAGGTTAATAATAAGGAAAAAATCCTAGGAAATTAGAAACTTCCACAAAATTGCCAATTCTCTGATGGTAAATTCTTTGGATGGTAAAGGATCTGCCTGTAATGCAGGATACTCGGGTTCATTCCCTGGGTCAGGAAGATCCCTGGAGAAGGGAATAGCTACCCACTCCAGTATTCTTGCCTAGAGAATTCCATGGACAGAGGAGCCTGGTGGGCTATAGTCCATGGGGCTGCAAAGAGTCAGACATGACTGAGCAACTAACACACAAACACATGTGGACAGCCAAACTCCAAAATTCTTTGTCACTCAGACAAATTCTAAATAATTACAATTTACACTTTAGTTTAATTTTAAAAATGCACTAATCTTGTCCTCCAGAAAGAAAAGCCATAAAATACAAACACTAACCATATAACCGAGGGTAAGGAGAAATATTAAATACTGGTGTTTAATATTAGTGTCTTCTCACAGAAAACTCCTAAATTCTAAATAGGACTTTGTTTCAGAAAACAAAACTAAGGCAAAAGAGTAGACATGAAAAGGCTGCAGACTGATTCAAAAGGCATGACCTTTTTAACAATGAGAACTATCAATCAAACATTTTAGGAAGAAACTCCCTGGTCCTAGGGCAATCAAGAGGCTGGAAGACTCTCTTTTCAGGGGCTATAAAATTGAATCCTCTCATGGTGAAAGAGTCCTAATTCTAAGATTACAGAGATTTACATTATTATTACCTTTCCCACTCTGGAAAATCTTCAAGACTCTGTCTTGTAAATGTCACCAACCCAGTGGGTTCTACAAAAGCAATAAAAGAGAAACACATCCAAAATAAGTTTTGAGTTTGAAAAGATTATATATTTAGTAAAAGAGGAAATACTAAGCCTAGTGTTGGAATACAATAGAAGGTTGATTTAAAATAATATTCTTACAGTAGGAATTCTTTCTATAAAACTAAGCCCTCCCTAAGACTCCCCTGGTGGCTCAGACGGTAAAGCGTCTGCCTACAATGCGGGAGACCCAGGTTTGATCCCTACGATCCCCTGGAGAAGGAAATAGCAACCCACTCCAGTACTCTTGCCTGGAAAATTCCATGGACGGAGGGGTCTGGTAGGCTGTCCTACCATGGTAGGCAAAGAGTCCGACACGACTGAGCGACTTCACTCACTCACTTCACTCAAGGCACAAAACTACACAGATAACAGCACAACAGTAGGATGTGAGTGCTGGTACTTTTTGGTTAAGTTTGCCAAACTGAATATACTTAAAAAAACCCAAAAAACCCTGTGGGGAGCGGACGCATGCTGGATATAGTTTATACAACAAAGACAAACTGAATTTTAATCTGTAGCATCCTTTTAAAAATAAAGTCTTAACCCTAAACCTATTGACTGGTGAATGCCAATATATTTATGTGTTTTATAATAAGTATGTCTAAGATTAAAAAAAATTGTTGGCGTGTACTTTGAGGTGACACAGCTAAATTCAGGGCTTAGACGATATGCAGCTGCTCTATTTATAAGGCATCTTAGCCAGAAGGAAGAATTACTGTATTCTAAGAGGTTACAGAAGAATGATGACATAGTTTTCAAGGAGCAATAGATATGAGAAGATCAAAATGCAGTAAATTCTAGAGGATAAGATCCTTTTTTGTTAGGTTTACTTTTTTTTTTAACTAGTGGCAAAAGCAACAAATAAATCAGCTGGCCAGAAGTAATTTGTTTGATTCAAATCAAAGAACAAACTAAGAAGGCCAGGCCATTTCTGTTTAAAAAAAGAATGCTCTTAAGCAGAGAGAGATATGTCAGGAACTATTAGCGATAATGGTGGTGGAGTCCCAGTGAAAGGCCGGCAATCATTTCATTCCTTTGGATGAGTCCACATTTCTTTGCTCTCAGTCACAATCAGCAACAACTCAAAAATCATATGGGGTAGTTACAGTAGAAAACAGAATTTGGTTAACATGATTTACAAAATATTCTTCAGCTGTCTAACTTCCTTTAAGACAAATGGCTAGCATGTTTAAAATTCATAAGTCAAATAATTCAAATACTAGAGAAGCGATTCTATTAATAGGAGACTAAAGTCTATATCATCATTCAGTAATTTAGCAGAAAAATAAGAACATTAAATGGCCCTCATATATACTAGGAGAGACTAAGAAAATTTTTTAAAAATGAACATTTCTGGCAAAGTAAGAGAAAAGGCAGAAGAGTATGACTCTTTGCTGCTGCTGCTGCTAAGTCACTTCAGTCGTGTCTGACTCCGTGCGACCCCATAGACGTCAGCCCACCAGGCTCCCCCATCCCTCAGATTCTCCAGGCAAGAACACAGGAGCGGGTTGCCATTTCCTTCTCCAATGCGTGAAAGTGAAAAGTGAAGAGTACTGGAGACATGACTCTTTAGATATATATGAATAACCCCCCAAAAAAACCCCTTGAGAACATGCCTATTACCTTTCTTTCATAAAAAGGCATCTTTTATACCAGAATAGATCATTTTGGTTAATCAGATATTTCTCTTAATAAACTCACAGTATATACTACATTTGAGTCATCACTTTTTATAAATACTCCATTTATAAGATAGTTTTATCTAAAATTATATTGAAAATAATTCAGAAAGCTGTTTAAAATTATTCAGTCTCAAGAGCCTCACTATAATTATATAGACTGACAACCCTGAAAAGTTGGTCTTGATGGAATTGTATTTTATCAATTCTAAAAAGCATATTTTCATATATTAAGTTTCTGAAACTATGAATATACCTCATATAGTCAAAGGTATCTAGCCATTGCTTCTGGTCTGTATCAAAGCTGAACTTTTCCAAAGAAGATGAACATCTGTTTCTGCCATCTTCTGGGAACACCACCAATTTGAGATTAGTCTGAATTAAACCTTCTGTTGTCAGCTTCTATGGATCACCCTGGTAATAAGACTTTAGGTCCTAGACTTGAAGCTCATGGTTCATATTCTCAGCGAAGATTTTTTGGTGCCCTCTCTACCTAGGCTGACATCTGCAGTTTCTTTGTTGTCACCTTTCTGCATGGCAAAGTTAATTTTTCACCTATTCTTAGGCTAAAGGTACAGATCTCTGGTGTCCCAGCTTTGTAAGAGATCAGCTACAAATTCCTCATCCTGAGTATTTTTTCATTCTTAGTGGTATATAATATAATGAAACTTCTTGTCATAGATCATGTCCTAGAATTGATGAAACATGGTACTTTAAATAGGTTTCTATAATTTCTATGCAGTAGAACTCCAGAATTTTATATATAAAGTAATTATTAAATTGCAAACCTCTCTTTTATTCTACCTAGTATTTCCTTCTTAAGTCTGTAGCTTTATATCCTAAAAACCTATAGCATATCATACTGTATTTCTACAAAGAACCAAATTACCATGTACAGTGAAAAAGTCAGAAAATAAAATGTCTAATTATCAGTTATTTTTTCAGTCATATTCCCAATACTTATGATGATTTATAAAGTATAAATAAAATTTTAGCTTTTCCCCTCCAAACACTTAAAATCCTAAAACTTGGAAAGGCAAGTTGGCTTTTAGAGCAGACATGCATGATTTGACTTCAGGGACAGAAAAATAAACTTCAAATTATTAAGATATAGTAATGGTACTCATTCTGTTTAGATTTAGGATAGCAAAAAATATACTTATTTTTCTAACAAATTAATATAAATTTTAACTCAATTTTATGTCTCATAAGCCCTAGTGAACCTTCACTTTCTTTCCTTACTATTTCATTCAGTACAGGGCACAAAACTAAAAATGATAAGCTAAGAAATAAATAGCCCACTATCAAAAGAAGCCTATGAATTTGTCCCTGAAATATCAAAATTCTGATCATCGATTTCTTTTCCTCAAATCTGAACCATGCCCAACAGCAATATGTTCAAAACGAAAAAAATCCTAGGTACACTATGATGTGAGATAACTTACTAAGGGAAGGATATGAGAAAAATGACCTTAAAATAATTCAGTAATATTATTATTATTATATTATTCAGTGACATTAATAGTTCAGTGTGTGATACTTTAAGACAATCACACAACTGGGAAGACCAGAACTGAAAAGAACTCATTTCACTGGAACAGAGTTAACCTGCTCTACTTAACAAAAGCAAACTTATAATTATTTGCAGGAAAGGCTACCCATGACAATAGCTGACATTTATTAAGCATGTAACTTTTCATTAATACTTAACTACCCTATGAAGTAAATTATCATTATTCTTTTATTTTACAGATGAGGAAACAGCCATTTAGAGATGTTAAAAAAAACTTGTCTGCAGTCACCCCAGCTCCTAGGATAAGAGTGGCAACATCAATCTATTATTAGCTGGTCACTACCAGTGTTGGCTAGATATTTACCACTGCTGTCTCAAGTGCTATGATTAGCCTCTGGGAAAACACGATGGTCAAGGTCCAACAGAGGAAGACAAGATATGTGAACTCTAAGTACAAACACTATTTTACAAGAACCTGATAAGGGCATAAAGGAGGCACAAAAGAGAGGGATGGGAGGAAGGCAGTGAATTGGTTAGCCTCTGCAAATAAACTAATGATACCAGTCAATGTTTCTTTAAATAAAGAATACCCAAAATACACCTCCCAGTCAATATACTTTCTTTTGAAAGTACTGATTTACTGTTTTTATTCATGAACATTCATTACTTTATGTTATGCTGATCTAATTTCCAAGTACATAAAACCCACACGTTTACAGTACACATTTACGTATACACACAACATATGCATAAAATTTAGGTTATAATATTACATTACTAGTTTTGATGTGGTTTGGGTAGGAAAGTGTACTTTGAACACAATGCTTTTGACCTGTCTGAACTGTCCCCATCAGTGATAAAAATTACAAGTAAGAATGAAAGGAATGTACTTTTCTCTGTGACTCTTCTAAAGTAGCAGAAGAGCGTTTTAAGCTTCTCTGGTTTCCTTGATGAACGTCCCTCAAACAACCTGAAAGAGACCAAAAATAAAAGAGGGTAAAGATGATTTTAAATGCCTTAATGATTCACAAAAAACTAAAATCTATATTGCTACCAAAACAAAAGAAGTAATTTATTCCAGAAGACAATTATGTAACAACAGAAAACTGGGAAACTGTCTGGATTCAAACAGCACCTGGAGAGGACTGAAAGCAACGAGAACCGGGTTTTCTCAAAGTGTTCACATCAGATGGCACTCTAATAACCACGCTCCTCCAGTCTGTCTTCCTGTGGGGAGAAGGCACCATCTGGTCCCCTAAAGACAATCAGGCCAGTGAGCTAATGCTCATTTCCCCCATGGCAAATATTATTGGCCATAATATTACTAGGTCATTAAATGACTGAACAAAATGGTATCAGGAAAAAAATTTGTTAAGATTGCTTGACGGTGGGGGGCAGCTATGACAACGACAAGCAGGTATGACAAGATACTGGCGGACTGACCAATCCTTGGTAATTAAACAAATATACTCTTTGTATGGGAACCGAAACACTGGCTACACTATGTCATCCGGTTTCCAGCAACCTGGACTTGCACAAGTTAATTTAGTTTTCCTTGAAATGATGTGGCACTGTTATTGGTAACACATAATGCAATTTATCCTGAGGAAAGAAAAGCAAGGCTTTGGAAGTATATGACCTGAGTAAGTAGTTCACCAAAAGATTTCCAACACAAAAGCATGCTTTCAGGCACAATAGCTAGCTTCACAAAGGTATTTAAAAATCATAAAGAAATTCTGTGGCTATAAATGATGAAGTATTAGTCATCTGCCTCTAGTCACATACTCTTGCTTTAAAACCAGAAACCCTTCAAGTAAAAGTTCACTTTAATAAGTGCCGAAATGGTAAAATTTTCCATGATTAGAAAAACAAGCTTATGTAACTATGCAGAGAGGGAAAAGTTAATTCTATGAGAAAATCCTATTGAGCAAATGAAATGAATTAGGAAAAGGGAAGGAAATGCAGATGTCAAATAATCCTGTTTTCAACGATCTGAAATTCTTTATTCAGGGTCAATTTCTGAGAAAACAATTTATATAAACCCTTATTTCCTGAAAAGAATGCTAAATATCAGAGAGCATTTTAACTAAATCTGAAATCTAATGTTTAAAAATAGTTTGAGTGTCTATGTGATAATTTTTACTCTTCTAAAAGAATGTATTTTCTAAAATATTTATTAAAAATACTCAAAATCTAACTGCCTGATGGAAGAATCTATGAAAACACAGGTTTCAGTTCGGTTTCTTCTGCAATATGTCAGCCAGAATAGAGTCTGTTTAAATCAAAATGATAGTCAAAATGAAGGAGCCACTTGGCAGTTTAATTAAACATCCTGTATCAAATAAATATGATTTACTAAATGAATACCTTGGGATCCATTGCAAAATCCCTTTCCAAGGTTAGTAGAGGGAAGCAGGATAAATGTCAGTATAAAGGCAGCTTTCATCTTTTTTTTTAAGAGATGAATTGATGTAGTATACAATTCAATTAAGAGGAAAAAGCTCCTCTTCCATAGAACTGTTGCATAGTGAGTGAAAATGCCTACTGCCCTTAAGAAATAACTCCCCCCCATAAAACGCATCCTGAGCTTCAGTATGTGGTCAGTTGTTTATAAAATTACATAAAAGTTCACATATTTCAGAACCATGATGACAAATTATTAACTTTAAGAGACTCTTGGGACTACAGATTTATTACCCTAGCAATATGGACTTTCCTGGAAGGATTATATGGCTGTTATTATCACCCACTACAAATGAGCACTACTGTTTATTTTTCAGGTCCAAATCTTATAGGTACAAATCAAACAGAATCTCAAAACATTCTTTTCCTTTATTGCTCTAATTTCAAATCACTGTGTAACCAAATAAGCTTTCCCATCTTTCTGATGGGGAAGTGTGTGGGGGTTGAAGTCTGGGACACAACAAGAAGGTAGAACAACAGGAAAGATGAGGCAGGTTTAAAATTCCTGCATCAATTCTCAGATTTTGACTTGAAGATTCGTGCATAGCCACCTAAATAAATGAGGAAGCAAGTGAAAATAACATAAAAACACAGGCACTCTACAGGACTGAAAGCTACCAAAGCAATGTACTATCTGAAGGATAGCACTTATAGGGGGAGGAAGAGACAAAAGTACTGAGGAAAGAGCCCAAGAAACGAAGAGACAGAAAGATGGGGCTAGCAAGAGAGAAGAGAAAGAGCAGAAACTGGGCTGGAGACAGAGGGAGGGTATGAGAAACAGAAACTCACAGAAAAACACACTCAGAGAGACAAATACTGAAAGCGACAGAGATTCAGAGGCTGAGATCTTGTAATAATCAAGCACCATCCAAATTTTTTTAATTCTTCAATATCATTTTTTTTTTTTAGATTTTCAAATCCAAGGCGAGTTTGGTTTTTTGGCTCTGCCACACGGCATGTAGGATCTCAGTTTCAGACCCTGGCTTGAACCCGCGTCCCCTGCACCTGCAGCAGAAGCAGAGTTTTAACCACTGGACTGCCAGAGAAGTCCATGGATATATATATATTTAAAGTCATACTTCGAGTCAGCAGGCATCCATGTGAAAATGCACATCAACTAGGCCATACTAGCCCCTCCTCATGTAGGGAAGACATTTTAGCATTTAACCGAATAGTAATTACAGATTATTAAAGGAAACAAACAGAAAAGGCCACTTAGGCCTTTTGTTCTAAACAAAACTTCTTATTTTCAGTAAGTCAATCAAGGGTCAGCTACGTATTAACTGTTTTTCTTCCCATACATATAAAGAAAAACATAGTTTAATAAAATCTTTCCCTGAATGGAATACTGATAACATTACTGGAATTGGATTCTAGACACACACACACACACACACACACACACACACACTCCCATGTGATTTCAAGTTAAGGATTAATCCTATTAGTATACAATAAATCAAACCCAAAGCACTATAACCTCCATTTTAAAGTGGAAGCAAATGATAATCCGGAACCCAGCCAGAAAGTCATTCTTGGCACTGCTGTGAAGCAGTGTGCCATATGGCCCCGGCAGCATTTTCAATCCAGGGAAGAGACAGATGTAAAAGCCTCCTGGGCTGACCACTGTTGCAACCTACAATTAATCTCTGACCATCAGTTTCTAAGCAATTTCAGAAGCATCAATGCTAATCACATTGGAAGCCTTTATAAGAATGTTTAGGCCCTGAAAGGCAAGCAGGGGAAAAGGTCAGGGGTGTTTAACATAACTAAACAGGGCTGGAAAAACACAACAATAAATAAAAAAAGGGAAGACTTATTCAATTTATTGACGTCAGCTTTCTATCACATACTCTTACCATTTTTCTTATTCAATTAACTAGTCCTAGCCTTTTAAGACAAAATACACTCACACACATACATAACTCCCAAATGGCAGAAACTATAATCATAAATAGCAACTATGCAAAAAAGAAACATGCCAACAACAAAATGCTCCATAATCTGCTTACCAAATGGCTCATCAAATTAGGTACTTGATTGTTCATAAGCCACAAGGAAAAGGGGGAACTACTGGTTGTTTTTCATTTATGGAGCACACTCAGAGCATCTGCTCTTGGGAGGAAGTGAGACATAATGAAACAGCACTAAGTTTGAACAGAAGACAGTGTTCAAGTCCCAGTTCTGCTACTTAAACTCTTATTTGATAAAAATGCAACTGGGATGCTATAAGCTTATTTCCCTCACGGTCATTTCAGATTGGAAATAATTCTTACAGATCAAGGATTATTTCTAAGGATAGTTCTAATTTCTGACTAGCTATAAGGTAAAAAACGCCAACCATACCCTGAGTTTTGAACTTCAATTATACCAGTTAACCTGGTGAAGTAAACTACCCTCTCTAAGCCTCCAACTCCTCATCTGAAAAATAAGAAAACAATATTGAATTTATAGGGACTGATATGAAGATTAAAAAATAACAGTACAGTCACTGGTACATGGCAGGCACTTAATAAATACTAGCTATTAGATATTTTTATGCAAAAACTTCAGATAATGCTGAGTAAGTAGAGGATAGTACCCAGCTTAAAAAAAAAATCAACACTTATTTACATAAAACACTCACACTGTTCTAATCCATATTCTCTTCATTAAGAAAAATGGCTCTTTTCCCATCAAGCCTAACATGCTGACACTCAGAGCCAACCAGCTCAGTCTTCAGGATACATGACCATGCACAGTGAAAAGAGATAACAGGATGTTGCCAAGACCAGCATTCTCCTGTCAAAAGTTTAGATGACACACAAAGATGCTTTAAAAATAAAACAAATATTAAAATTAATATAAATTCTGGCTATGGCAGCAGGAAATGAGAAGTCACAGAAGTCAAGGCTTCCCAAGCCCTCTTGACTTCTGCCTGTCAGTCATCCCAAACCTGCGTCCACTTCACTGCTGAGGCAAGAAGGCTGTCAGGGCAGCAGCCGTCAGAGGGCCCTGTGTGCTTGTGCTTCTCCTACGCCGAACGGGCAGCGAGGGTGAAGGGGAGGTGGTGACACTGCGCTTACAGGGCTGGAACTAGGAAGGAAGAAGCCACCCACACTAGCTATTTTGGAAAGGCTCAAAATCTCTGTGGGATTCTACTCTCAAAATCAAATTACAAAAACTGTCTACTTTTTTCTTAACATTTCTGATAATTGACGCTTGTTCTTCCTACTTAACTGATTTTTCTTCTGATTAAAAAAGTAATATATGATCATTATAAAAGCAATCTGAAGACATATAGATGTGTATGAAATGTGTTTATCTCACCACCCAATGGTAATCATTTTCTTGTCAGTCCATTTTCTATGCACATACATTTATTATGTATAGGGATAAACACAAAGTATATTAATAGATACAGATATTTTAACATAACTGAGATCACATTTTATATACAATTTTTTATTTCTTTTAAAAACCTACAATTACTGATTCTAACCACACATGACATCTGTTCCCTTTCTT